TCCGTTATAATAAGGAATCCGGTATTGCCTGGCCTTAAGTTCCTCCACTCTGCTTCGGAAATTACTATATGTAGTAATAAATATTACATGCGAATTAAATATAGTATAGCTTATCTTTTAATAAAATTTTTAAAAATAGTTGAATTAATTACTATATATTATAATATAATCTTTTAAATTAGGTTTTTATATTAATTAAAATATTAATTATAATAAAGATACAATAAAATAACTAAATAGAATTATTAATTTTAATAGTTTTTTAAAAAGAGGTAACCTATACTATATTTAATCCATTACATGCAATGATAATTACTACATGCAGTAATAAATATTATATGTAATAATAATTACTACATGTAATAATATTGCGACAGAGTGAAACCTGAGTCACTAACTAGTAAAATTCTCTATGTAAAGAAGTCTTCTAGTGACTGGACTCGTCAACTCGTGACTCGAATAATTCGAATTTATCATTCTTCGAATTATGAAAATTTAACTCTTGAGTTACGTTCTAGTATGTTAAAATAATTAATAATAAAATTTGTAATTATGCATAGTAAATACGTACATATGTATTTTAACGTAACTACTGAACTACGTCTATATGTTGTAAATGTGAATGGAATTTAAGTGAATTTGAAAGTCTAGTTAAACTAGGGTTAGTGGTAGGGTGTATATATGATAAAAGCAGCCAACACGTGCGGTTTTATATGTAAATTCCGAATCCACTTAAATTACGTTTCCATTCACAACATATATAGCTCATTGAAATTTAAATAAACTATATAAAAAAATTTCAATAACTTTTAATACATTTCCATCTATACAAATGATCAAAACTAAAGCAATAATGAACAGGAGGAATCCTATGTCGAAGAAATTATTCAAAGTACTATTACAGCAAAAGCAAAACCATGATCCAGAATTGGTGGGTGAGGTGTTATTTTTAAAAGAAACATGATTTGCTAGACACATTATTTCACATTGACAAATAATTAATATGCTACTGTTTTCATAGCTTATAATCTGTAATAATAACATGTAATTTTATTCAAAGTATATTTGCTTTTATAATTCCCAATTTACAAAACTTTCAATAAATTAATTGTTGTGACTCGAATAACTCGAGTAAAATTCGAAGAATATTACAATTTGAGCACTCTTCGGAATTTAATTCGCGAGTTACGAGTTAACACGAAATTCGCTTTTGTATAATAAAAAACATAGAAACTTGGGTTTCACCCTAACCCAGATTTCACTCTACATAGTGAATTTTACTAGCTGGTGACTCAGGCCTCACCCATTTCGATAATTCGATAATACTTACTATATGTAATGAGAGCTACTACCTGTAATAATAATTACTACATATGGACTGTGTTCTGAGAAGAGACCAAATTGACAAAAAAAAGTTTTGCAGAAAAATAATCTTTATATTATAAATTCTATACCGTTAATAAATTATAAGAAAATACAAACTTTAAAGAGTCATACTGCAAAATTTTATTAAAATAACAGAATTTGTTAAAGTAAAAAAGTTCTGGGCTAATTTTGGATTAGTTAAGTTTAAAAAAATTTTTTAAAAAAATTGGTCTTTTCTCGGAACACAGCCCATATAATAAAATATTGCTACATGCAATAATATTTACTACATGTAGCAAATATTATTGCAATTACTACTTTGAAGTAAATAATTACTACATAACTACATATTATAATTTGAATTACGACGTCATACATTAGTTCCCAATGTCAATTTAAATATCAATTTTCGATCCTTTTCGTTGCATTACATGCTTTCTCTGTGATTGTTGTTATACTCGTGTTTTCTGTCCCATGTTTTATCCATAAATGTTGCATATTTATGGAATTTATACCTTCAAATGACGGAAAATATTCGGCCTACCACATTATGTAACCGATTCATGGTGCTTTTACAGAAATTAAGGAGATAAAATGGAAATATTCAAATAAATTTTTTTTACAGGAAATATAATTTATTCTATATTTTTCTTTCGTAACGTTTTATTATTAGTAATACAATTCGGCAGGCCATCATACCTCGTTTAACCAATATAACTGCAACTAATAAAATGCTAAATAATCACACCTTATAATGCAGATTAGATGTCTTGTCGGGAAATAACCGTTGCGAAGTTAAGCAACATCCCATTTAAAAATTGATATACAATAATATAATGATTACCGTCATAACGTTCATTTATCATTTGAGGTCCTTGTTAGGCAATTTACCGAGAATTTCCGATCGAGTAAATCAAATAGGAGCGACTGAACAGAAATAACATATAAAATGTACTATTACTAGGTTGTCAGAATTTAGTTCGTTGTGCAAAAAAAAACCATTAATGAACTAAAAATAACGATTTCACGAAGTAAGGTGAGTAGTAACTTTAATATATAAGTTTTTTTCTAGGTTTATTATACTCGTTTATTATAAATTTTTTAAGCTTAAATAGAATAGTTGAATAAAAAATAGTTTACTAACTATATTACTATTTATTCTTTCTATTATCGGGATATTTTTTTAGAATGTATTCCAGAACCTATACCTAATATACGCGAGAATGTATATATTAAAATTTTAAAGGCTTAATAAAGTAATTGGTATTATGAATAAGATGTTTGTGTTTGCAGATTTTGTTATATACATTATCAAATATATAATGTATACCGTATTGTTAGAGGCAAAATGACCTGCGAACGTTACGCACGAATTTGTCATGAAACATGGGCATCAAACCCCTGATTGAAACAATAAGATCGCAAATCATGCGTCAAGCCCTAATGCAAAATTTTACCATCGAACCTAAAAAGGGAAGGTCGATTTCAACTAACCCGATTGTCAATGACCGTCCAAAATCGTAATGAGGTGGGAATTTGATGGTAAAATGATGACGTATATCTTTTTTTCTTCGCCTTCTTTCCTTGAAAATTGTAAGGCTGTGTAAAGGGTAAAGCATTAGTTCGAATAAGGTAAAACGGCTTAAATTCAATGGTAGATAGCGAGATAAAAAAGTTCAATTCTATTCTTCTCTCTTCTCAGAAATTTGTTATTAATAAGAGGTAGAATTCCTCTTGTCAAAGTGTGTAATTTGTCCCTACACATTTAATTCATTAATAAAACATCATATCACTCTTTAAGTTTGTTAATACCCTTGTAACGTAACTCAATAGACGCCTTAGATCACGCCAAATCATAACTCTCTATTGAGTAACGTTACGCGACGTCTTGCGAAGTCAAGCGACAATTCGTCGCTTTTCTCTTGCTTTGCTGGTGGTGTTTTTTTCTATTTACCCGCTAACAGTATAGATTTTTTGTAAGCGATGATAATTAAAAGTTATCTGTATAAAAGATAAATTGAATAGAATAAATTCAATAGATAAGAGTATGCTTGCTTACTGTTTGATAATCGAATTAATCTTTAAAATAAAAATTTTAATTTCGTTGTAATTTAGTTCTTCGTATTTTTTTTTATTAAAGATCGCAAGCTGCAAATTGATTGGTTGATCAGCATGTGACATTTCGTATTCCGATTTTGTTTGATAATTTTATATTTGATTTGTTGAAATTATTGAAAATTTATAGTTTGAGTTTGAGCGATTGGTTAGGAGATTCACGGAAGAAATCTACAATTGGTGTAACCTGAACGGATTTAGTAAATCATCTTTTACCTTTAATTATTATTAAATAAGATCGAACTAATAAAGATAAAAAAAAAATAATTTACCCGATCGGTAATCTCGAAGGGAATTTTCCTAGCAAAAGTCCCATTTATTTGTATTTAAATAGTAAAGCTTAGGTATCACAAATGTCAATTAGAATCACAGGTAAATAATTAACATTCAAAAATCCTATGAAAAAAAAAATGGTTTTGCGATTGTCATACACTTTTTTATGCTTCATTTTGATGTAGATCTATTCGATCTACAATTCACAAAATACAAACAAAATACAAATCCAAGTAAAATCATTTATTCAGATAAAGTAATTCACAGAAAATCGTCAATATGGTATGAATATATATAAAGTTATCCATCGCATATTTTTCTAACACTAAAATCAATATAACGTTATCCATCACATATTTTTCTAATACTAAAATCATAATGTATCTCGGATTACTTAAAAAATTCTTTAATTCAAGATTATTAATATCATTCTTAATTCTATGTAATTTATACTTGAAAGCCTCTGCTAATCAAGGAGTTCCCTATACTCCCGACATGGAAAATTTGGTTTTATCTGGAGCCCCTCAATGGAATTTCGCCAGAGCAGAAGATCATGATTCCTGCGCACCAGACCATGCAATAATAAATAACGGAGAACAACATTCACCTGCAACAAGATACTCATGGCCCACTACTGATGAAGGAGGATGTGGTAATATAAATTATGACAACTTGGCTACTTATTATAGCAAAAAATGGTGTGATGATGATCATTTTAGAGTTATATATACGCTCTATTTCCCTAAAGATGGATTTTCAGGAAGTTTTTTAGGGAATGATTGCGGGCATGATCATGATTTTGAAAGCATAGCCGTATCTTGGAAGAGAATAACCGGAACTTGGTATCGTGACGGATTAATCATGAGTAGACATAAAGGATGGAATCACCAATCATGGGATAATGTTTTAAGTTTCAATTATGATGGTACTGAAGGAATAGGATTAGAATTTCCAAAAATATTTGTGGGGTGGGCAAAACATGCAATGTTCAATAATAAATTTACTTTGTTTACAGAATTACCCTTGCAATTCACTGATGCTGAGTATAGATCTGATGATTATTTATTATGGGCTAACCAATCTCTAATAGAAGTTACAGAAGATAATTGGTATGGTCAACAATTTCAGAAATATGATTGGGGAAAGGCGACACCTCCTACCGAAAAACTTCAGAATTTATGCAATATATAATATTTAATGAATATTTATATTATATTAAAAGTTTTTAATTTAATTTAAATAAATGCCACCAAAATATCCTTCCATTAATAATAAAAATAGTATATAAATGAAATAGAAAAAGAATACATTTCCATTGGTAATTTGGCTCAACCTAACAAATGATTAGCTGACACACGTGCCGCGAAACGGCACGTTCAACCAATCATTTTCAGGTTGAGTCAAATTACCATTATTCCTAATAATGGTGTTGTCCGGCAATTTATGAGTTTTAATTCGAAACATTTATTACATCGTAACACATGAAAAAATAACAAGAAATAAATTCATTATCATATGTGTTTGTTGATAAAAAAAATAAATGGGAAAATCACTCTCCGACATTTCCTATCGGGCTGGTTCGGATAAAAAAAAACCCGAGTACCGGCTCATGTTTATATGTTAATCATTTTTTACCTTTATTGATTCAATTGTTTATCGAATAAAAGATGATTAACATAAACCGGTACTCGGGTTTGGAATTAGCCCGACTCGGAAATGTCGGAAGGTGATTTCAAGGCAAAACCTCCAAATATTCTTCACTCCGGTTACGAGCTTTTAATTTTTAACTAATAAAATTTTTTCATATTTGTTAATAAATTTCTTTTCATATATAATAAACTTCTATTTTATTTGTAACAGGCTGTTATTCACCATCTCAATATGATTGCATA